GCGGCGCCAGACCCTGCTGTTCAGTGCCACCCTCACTGCCACCCTCAGCGAGCTCAGGGGCCTGGCTGCCAATGAGCCCTTCTTCTGGGAGGCCAAATCTGAGTGAGTCCAGAGCAATCCCATTCCCTCCCTGCTCCTTCTCCCTGGTTTTACTCTCCCGTCCCCTGTTGAGGCATCTCCACTGCTGGGCCCTGCTTTGGGGCCCCTGACTGTGGGAGAGACACTGAGGGGCTGGAGCGTGTCCAGAGAAGGGAAGGGGGCTGGAACACAAGGAGAAGGGACTGGAGAACTCCTGAGGGAGCTGGGGGGGCTCAGCCTGGAGAAAAGGAGGCTCAGGGGGGACCTTCTGGCTCTGCAACTCCCTGACAGGAGGGGGGAGCAAGGGGGAGGTCGGGCTCTGCTCCCAGGGAACAACAGGACAAGAGGGAATGGCCCCAAGCTGTGCCAGGGGAGGGTCAGGCTGGACATCAGGAGGGATTTCTCCATGGAAAGGGTGCTCAGGCACTGGAAGGGGCTGCCCAGGGAGGTTTGGAGTTCCCATCACTGGAGGTGTCCGAGGAAGGCCTGGATGTGGCACTCAGTGCTCTGGGCTGGGGGACAAGGTGGGGGGTCAGACACAGGGTGGGAGGGCTTTTCCAACCTCAGTGATTGTGGGATTCTGGGATTCTGTTGATCCTCACTTGGTGCTCCCCCCTGGCAGGGTGAGGACGGTGGAGGAGCTGGACCAGCGGTACCTGCTCGTGCCCGAGGCAGTGAAAGATGCCTACCTGGTGCACCTGATCCAGACATTCCAGGACGAGCACGAGGACTGGTCCATCATCATCTTCACTAAAACCTGCAAGTGAGTGGAGTTGCTCCTTGGGGCTGCTTTTGATGTGTCTCTTTACATCTGGCACAGGTGGCCCAGAGAAGCTGTGGCTGCCCCATCCCTGGCAGTGTCCAAGGCCAGGTCCAGTGGGAGGGTGTTCCTGCCTGTCCCAGCTCTCTCCTGATCCACTTCCTTGGTGCATCCTGATTGTTTTTCTGTTTTTCTTTCCTTCAAGGGACTGCCAGGTCTTGAACATGATGCTCAGGAAGTACAACTTCCCTTCTGTAGCTCTGCATTCCATGATGAAACAGGTGAGGGATGGGAGGTGGCAGCTCCCTGAGCTGGGAGACTCCAAACCCTGCAGCTCCTGTGGATCCAAATCCCTCACACAGACTTTTCTCTCCCCAGAGGCAGCGATTTGCAGCTTTAGCCAAGTTCAAATCCAGCATCTTCAAGATTCTCATTGCCACTGATGTTGCTGCCAGGTACAACATGGGCTCTGTTCCCAAGGGTCACAACCACTGCAGAGTTTAGGCTGAGTTTAACAAGAGGAGACCCTTAAATCCCCTACCCTTGGGTGGGACAGGGCTGTTCACAACACCTCTGAGCTGTGTTTTGGAGCCTGTGTGTGTGTGTGAAGTGGCTCTGACAGGGGGTGTGTGTTTAGGAGGAAGGTTTCTGTGAGGCTCAGTGTGTTCCCTGGAATTTCTTAACTGCTGGAGAGTTGTGTGAGGAAAGAGTTTGTCCTACAATCAGCCAATAAAGACCATATTCATGGAATATGGGGCTGCTGGAGAAAGCAGAGAGCAGGAATTAAACTGCAGACACCCCTGGGATAGTGGAAGGTGTGGGTGGAATCTTTGAGGTCCCTCCCAACCCGAACTGTTCTGGGATTTTATAATCCTATCATATTAAAGCTGTTTTCTCACCCTCTGCTCTCTTTGCCTGCATTCCAGAGGGTTGGACATCCCCACAGTCCAGGTTGTGATCAATCACAACACTCCAGGCCTGCCCAAAATCTACATCCACCGGGTGGGCCGGACGGCGCGCGCGGGTGAGCGGGAGAACTCCCCCGGGGATCCCCGTCCCTGGGATCCAGGGAGGGGCTGGGCCCTGGGTTGGGGGGGGGTCAGGAGGTGTCCCAGCAGCACTGCAGGGTTCTCAGGCAGTGCCAGATCCGCTGGGATCCCTGGAATCTTGCCTTAGGATCCTGCACTTGATGGATCGTGCCGGGTCTGAGCCGCGCCGAGAGTGAACGGAATCTCCAGAGCGAATAAAGACCCCTCTAAGCACCCCTCGGGCTGACTCAGGGGGGTGAGTGGGTTTGGAATGGGTTGAGTTCATCTCCCTCTGCCTGTCAGGACTCACCTCTCCCTGGTTTTGCCCCATCCAGGCCGGAAGGGAGTTGCCATCACCCTGGTGACACAGTACGACATCCACCTGGTGCACGCCATCGAGCAGGAGATCAGTGAGTGGGGCCTTGGGGCATCCTGCTGGAAGGTGGGATCACACACTGCAGCACTCAGAACACTGATTTCATCAGCTTTAGCATCAAAAAGGTTTCTCTTCCCTGTGTGGCAAAAAGCAGGAGCACCAGAATTCCTGGTTCAGCTCCCGAGTGCATCAGACAGGAGGTGTTTGTCCTCCTGCTGTTTCTCGTGGAGTTCTCTCTGTAACCTCCTTGTTAAAGCAGCTTCTTGACAAGGTGGACAAAAGGAACAGGTTGCTTCAGGTTCAGATTTCTCCATTTTTTGGGGGAAGCAGAGCCAATAAATGCAGCATCTTGTGCTGTGGGGGACCGTGGGCAGAGGGGAGGAGTGAACCTGCTGTGGGCTGAAGGGTTTGGAGTGATCAGAGCATCCTGGCAACAATTCCCCCGGTAGTCAGAGGAGCTGCAGTGGGTTTTTTACTGCCCCTGGGTTTTTTTTAACCAAGCCAATGTTGGGTAAATGTCTCCCCCTGGTTCAGAGCTGCAGCTGAAGGAGTTCTCTGTGGAGGAGCAGCAGGTGCTGGACATCCTCACCCAAGTGAACGTCACCAGGAGGGAGTGTGAGATTGTGAGTGGAACAAGGAGCCCCTTTGTCCAGGGGCAGATCCCTGCAGAAACACTTGGGGGGTGTGTGGGAGGGTTGTTTTGGTTTCTCTTCCCTTGGTTTGCTCTGTTATTGCTCATTTTTCCAGTGTTTTTTTGCTGCTGGGTGTTGAAACTGGTACTTTTTGGTGGGCAGGCCCCAAAATGTCCTGGTGACCCTGTGGGGTTGTGCTGCCCCTCCCTGTGTCAGTCACTGACTGCCCTGCTGTGTTTTCCCTTTGCCAGGAGCTGGAGGGGATGGATTTTGATGAGAAGAAAGAAATAAATAAGAGGAAACAGATGATCCTTGAGGGGAAGGTGAGAGTTGCTGCTCCAGCTTTGAGCTGGTTTGGTGTCCCTGGTGTGGAAAGGGAAGGACAGCTCCTCCCTCACTGCTGTGGGGTGAAGGCTCACTCCCCTTCTGGGTGCTGAGGCTTTATTTTAAAGGGTATATTAAATATTTTGAGATGAGAAAGTGCCCTGGAGGAGGGTCTGACCTTGGGAAGGGCCGAGGGGCTGGGGCCGCTCCGGGCGTGTCACCGGTGTCCTGCCTTTGCCACACTGCAGGATCCAGACCTGGAGGCCAAAAGGAAGGCAGAGCTGGCCAAGATCAAGAAGAAAAACAAGGAATGCCGGGAGAAGGTGCAGCAGACCCTGGAGAGGAGGAAGCAGCTGCAGCTGAGGAAGAAACTGCAGAAGAAGATGGAGCGGCGGAACAAGCGCAAGGTGACGGAGGAGCAGTGACAGCCCCAGGCCTGGCCTGGACTGCCCTGATTGTGCTGCTGCTTTGGGAATATTGGGATCTGACACCTTTTAATGTGGACACTTCTGACTGAAATCAGTGTTGGGGAGAAGGGAAGAATCCCAGAATCCCAGAATGGGTTGGCTTGGAAAGACCTTAAAGATCAACAAGTCCCACCCCTTGCCATGGGCAGGGACACCTTCCACTGTCCCAAGTTGCTCCAGCCTGGGCTTGGACACTTCCAGGGATGGGGCAGCCACAGCTTCTCTGGGAAATCCATTCCAGGACCTCCCCACCCTCCCAGGGAGGAGTTTTTTAATCCTGCACAATCCTGGCTGGGCCATTCCTGGCAGGCTGGATCAGCCTCCTGGGGAATCTTTCCAGCAGATGTTTCCCTTCCTCCACCCAAGGAGAGGCCAGACCTGGATTCCTGGGGCCATAAAGCTGCTCTGTGTGTCCCCCTTCATTCAGTCCCTGCTCTCTCTCCCTTCCCAGGGCTGTGGTTGCCACTCACACTTGTTTGGATCAACGGATTCTCCCCGGAGCCAGAGTCTAAAAATACTGTGACAAAATGAGCTCAGCCCCTTGTCTGTGCCAGAGTTTTCCAAGAGGAAAATTCATGGAGCACGTGTTGTTGTGCTGTGTGGGGCTGATCCTGGGGTTTTTCTTGGAATGATCCTGCTTTGTGCATCTGATTGATGTTCCTGCCTGTGGTTTTTCTGCCTTGGCTCCAGCCCTGGGTGTTATCCATAGGGATAGCAGAGTCCTGGTTTGGAGAGCAGGGCCCTGTTTTCCTGGATGATCAGTGGATTCCAAGGCAGATTCTGCACAGAAGATCCCCAGGAGCAGGATTCCCTTGTCCCTTGTTCCATCCAAGAGAACAGAGTGGGGTTTCTGGAGCTCCCTGTGTGTGTTTGGGGCAGGGGGGGGGTGGTTATGCCAGAGGGGGCTGAGCTCTTCTAAAAAACCAGCTGAGTTTCCTTATGGAGGCAGAAAAATCCCAGAGTTTGGCCAGCTTTGTGTCAGCTTTGCTCCTCATAGAAAAGTGCCTTTTCCATGGCTGAAAATCTGTTATTTCTGTCCTCTGGCTTAAAATAATTACTGTGGCCAGTGCCCAAATAAATATTTATTGCAACACGAGACTGGATGGTTGATTTTTTGAAGAGTGGGGGGATTGTGGGGCCTCAGGGGTGGGGAGCAGCACCTGTGTGGAGGTAAAACAGGGTTTATTTGAAGAGCTGGATAAGGATTGAACCTGTTATGGGTGTTGTATCCCTCCTTTCCTGGGAGCAGCAGTCCCTGAGGTGCCTTTCCCTCGTTGCCTCCCTCTCCCAGACACTTCCCAACCCTCTGTCTCAGGTCTCGGGTGGGGGTTTCTGTGTCTCCTGACACGTGGGGTTTGATCAAGGCTCTTGTCTTCATCCCGAATTCCTTTTGATGCATCCCTTGGCTGGGCTGGGAGGGGGGGACACGTGCTGGGAATCAGAGCTCTGGGTGGTGCTGGTGACGTTCCTGCTTCCCAGCAGCGGTTTGGGAGTGGCTGGGGAGGAAAAAGAGGTTGCTGGGCTGATTGGCAGGTGGGAAAATGCCTTAAATTCCCGGATCAGGAATTCCCTCTGTTGTGCAAGAGCTGGCCCATCACCCCCCCC